TGAAACCAGAAGATATTCCCGTGGAAGTGGTTGTTGAAAATGTACAGCCTGCGCTAAAGAATGACGATGAATCGGATGAAGAAATAATCAGACCCACCCCAGATCTGAGAAACCCTGGCCCACCTCAGCGCCAGGAACATGAGACACAAAACCCCGAGTACTATGCTTCGGAACAAGAAACAGTGTTGCTTTTCAAACAAAGTGTCAATGATGTACAGAATACCGTAAGACAGGGATTCCAAGGAATTGCTGATGGCATTCAAAATGTGATACAAGGCAACAATGAGCCCATCCAAACGCTGCATCAGAGTATTCAGTCCTTACGTGACGGTTTTGCTGCTCAGATGGACAAACTTAACGGAACTATTCAAAGCTACCTAAACTCAGATAGATCGAGTTCAGATCAGCCTGCCGTTGAACAGACTAAAGCTGGCTTTCATCAAATTGAAAAAGGTTTGTTTAAACTCAGAAGTGACTTCAATAAGGGTGTGAACTATTTTGCTGACGGCGTGGGATTAGTGGCCTCTCTGAGGGCTGAAAATCAAGCGGCTAACCCAAGCGCTGGCGCATCCCCTGCGGCGCCAGCCCCGGCCCCGACACCAGCTCCCGTCCTTCCGATGTTCCAATACTTGCAGAATTTCCAAGCTGCAGTGGGTGGTACTTTGCAAAATTTCACCGAAACCATCAATAAAATTGCACAGAATGCCGGATGGAACAATCCTTTCAATCAGGCTCCCGCAGCTCCTGCGGCTGCAGCTGCTCAACCTGCTCAAGCCGCTCAACCTGCTCAACCCGCCCCAGCTGCCCCACAAGGAGCTCAGAGCGACACTCCAGCGGCACCCGGCGCGTCGATTCCAGCACCACAATGGCCAAATATTCAGGACCTATGGAGTAACTTCGTTAGTTCTGGACAAAACGCAGGTGTCTTTCCAAAGCCAGGACAGTTTGGATCTGGAAGCGGCCCAATTGCCAGTTATTTCCAAAATGGTTACAATAATTTAGTTAATATTTTCCAACCGAGGCCAGGTCAAACTACTCAAGGAGCACAACCTGCAGCCTCCGGGCAGCCCGCACCAGCTCCACAACCTGAGACGGTAGCTAAGCCCGAAGAACCAGCCAGCAAACCAGAAGCAACAGCAGAACCTGCGAAACCAGCAGCAGAGACTCCAGCGTCTTCCACGCAGACTGATGGAGCGGCCGCTGTCGGACCCATCCGTCAGATACTCCAGAATAATCCCATCACCAAGGGAATCACTGGTGCCGTGCAGAAGTTACAGAACCTCAATAACCCTGAGAAACCGAGAGATGCTGAGGTGGAGAAGAAGCCAGAAGAGGAGGTCCTAGTTGACTCCAAACCAAAAAAGGGAGGCCCTAACACTGGTAAGTGGACTTATAATTTTTTTTGGTTACAAGATTTCGAATCATTTAACATACCCTATCTCTATATCTTGTATCTATTTTCTATTTCTCATTCAATTCAAACAAAATAATACTTAATAGTCAATATCTACTTACTTCTAGTTCTATCTTCAATTTGCACACTATACGTATAATAATATTCTACTCTCTTCCCTACATTGTCTCATCAATTTCCCAACAGTGGCGGCTTGGGGAGTTTTCATCAATGGTCTGATAGCCACTATAAGTGCTGTAATAAATGGTACTGCGACTACTGTCAGCACGGCAGTGAACAGTGCTATAAACACTGTCGGTGCCAATATCCAGGTATAGAGGACTATGCGTGTTTCGTGTGTAACCTGTGACCCACGTCGCTATAATATTTTTGTTCAATTTGTTGCTTTTGTGTTTTTTGTTATTTGTGACGTTAGCTGGGTCTCTGTGAAGGTGCCGCTGGAGCTTTATGTCTGTTGTTTCTTTGTGCAGTTCACTCATAAACGATTTTTAGTCCTAAAACCACGAAAATAGGATTTGTCGTAATTCGGTTTCAATGCAAACGCATAAGCGTGTTTATTTACATGAAATAACTACTTATTAGAGCTTGTTGTGAGGTCGCGAAGCAGGTATCATGTGCACTAACCCAACCATGTTATTACGCATTACGTTGTGAATAAATCGTTATGTGTGTTTTGTACGCAGCATATAACACTTCGTGACTGAATTACAGAACTTAATAAGGAATGTTACACGATACTTTGTACAATAATCAGAACGGAACATTAATTACTTGAATCACACACAGTCAATCATTTTATTTTTATACATGTATTTCATAAATAACAATATATTTTGGGGCATATATAATATACATAGTCTTACATACGGAATCCTGTTAAATTTCATTCGTTAATACATTTATTTACAATCATTCAAAAAGTAAATATTACAAAGGAAGTAATACAAAAAAGGACCCTGTAAATGTTTTTTGTTCAACATGCTACGAAACTAAATAACACGATTCAAATTAGTTCAATAAATCCATTTCATTTCGACAACTAAATAGTACAAGTAAGGCGCAACTAACGCAGTACAGATACACATGGCACGATGTACCTTTCTTCGCATACAATATTAGCACCTTGACTCTAAGCCGACTTTCTTTCCTCGAAAAATCAGGTTTCCTCGTAAGATCGACATTGTTGTGTAGAATGTATCCGACAGAGCTCTTCTTTATGGACATAACGGTGGATACGTAGTTACGGGTCTCTCGAGTTTGAACAGGAAAATTAAAGAAATACTCGTAAATGTCAACATAACAATATTTATAGCTGGTACAATGTTAGTGACCGCACGATTGGCGTAGTGGTTGGGCGACTATCTGCTGCGCAACATGCCGCGGGTTCGATAAACTTGTGTTTATATTCCTTACGTTCTTATTCCATGTCTGAATGTATATGGGATTGGTAGACTTAACTAGTGTGAGGCGACGTTTTAAAAATATGAATAATAAATAACGTAGTACATATCATTATCAAAATAGGTCACTCACTTTATTGTTGTAAAACAAAATATCAGATTAGATAGCAAACTAGGTGTTGTGCAATGTCTACTTGTATTAAGATTTTTGTCCTAACTATACGTTCGTTTTATCGTGTAAATCTAATATTGAGGCTGCTTACAATGTGTCTTGTCAACCACTCAAAGAATTCGTTACTAACACAAACTTAACTTATTATCACACATAAAATACAATTCCTAAAATTATTTTTGTTTCGCAGGGGGTAATAACGACGTCAGTAGCAGCAGCAGCGGGGTAGAACAAGAAGAGAAGAAAGAAGTGAAACCAGAAGAGAATATTCCAGCACAGGTCGCAGAAGTAAAACCTTCAGAAGACCAAGTTAAAGAAGTAAAGGCCGAAGAGGTCGCCGACAAGACTGAATAAGTCATTAGTGTGATTACTATAAGTCTAGAATGTAATTATTTATTAAGATTTAATAAAAATGTAAATAAAACAAAATTATGATGAGAAATAAACTATATTTTTCTTCAAAAATTTAATGGATGGTCGTTTTTATTATGCTTCCTAGTATGAGAGTTTAATAAAGTACCTAAGTAGGTACCTACTTACCTACACTTACTTGATATAAGTTCGCCTTATGTGCCATAATCAAATTGTGTACATTGAAGACTAAATAAATAAATAAATAAATAAATATAACATCACTCCATTTCGTTTCTCAAGGGGTAGACAGAGGTATACATTACTTACATAAATGTACCTAACAATCACTTTTCAGCAATCTACATATTTCCATGTAGAAGGGGTCAACGACATACCTTAGGTAAAATTCCAGACACCGTGCAATATTAAGAATTTTATAATATCGGAACAAGAAGATATCAGATTCGAGAACCCGTGCTCCACTTTAAAATCTTAACTTGTACCAAGTAGGCATTCAAATCGTTTCAGAGAAATCAAAATGGCACAATTCTACTGCACAAACAAATGTTAATGAGTTTTATCCACGAAGAGGTAGGCAAAGGTACACATTGCGGCACTTATTGCCAGTGTATAATGTAACCCCCACTTTTATGTCATGAGCCCTATGTAATAGGACGTGAACCTATTGCCATACACCGAGCACAATTCCAGATTCCGTGCTACTACTGAGTATTTTTAAAACTTCAGTGAACCGGAGACCCCTTGCCCGGCAGTCGCTCTTGCAAACACTCGGCCAACGAGGCAGTCTACCTTGTATACTAAGTATCTACTCATACATACTCTTAAGCTATTTTTTTATTTGATGGGCCGACGTTTGACCTCTACCTCGCCTGTTGGTAAGCGATTATGCGGTCTACAAAGGAGCACGAAGCACAAGTTCCACATAATATAAGTAAATTGTTCTCCGTACACAATGTCCAATAAAAATATAGATCTAACTACTATTGTTTGTACAATTTGAATCGATTTATAGGCAGATAGAGTCATAAAATCTTATATGGCACACTTTAACCCGATATGTCTGTATTTTATTATAGTTACAATAGTTGGACATAAAAACAAATACTTCAATCCGGAAGATGCGGTACCTGTACCTGCTATAATGACTTATTGTTACAATACAATGTTTTCTTTGGTCGGTTGGGTGGCCTATCAGAAGCGATTAGAAAATTAATGATCTTTAAAAACCTTAGATACCCAGTAGGTAATAAATAAGTCAACAAGTATACACCTAGTTATCAGGAATTAGGACAGAACTGTTTTTCAATCAAAAAATGACTAAAGGACAACTCCTAGTTTTTATATTAAGAGAAACCTTTAGCCTCAGTTTTCATTCCCGAGTCGGGCAATAGGTAGACAAATTACTATGAACTTCTAGAATGACATTAATGGTAGACTCGTCTAATGCATAGATATATAAATATAACAGATATATATATACTCTTATCATATCAGTGGTCTAATGCGAATGGTTTACGGGGAGTTTACGAGAATCATAGTGGTTGCATTTGTCCATTTACAAAGATCGTTTGGATAATTTCTGTTGATCAGTCTGACTCTGAAATGTCAAACTGACATAATATGTTGGTGACGTTTACGACATGCCTCTGACTTGTTTGAGGCATATTTGAGGTTATAAAAACATCTGGTGTAAACATTGCAATACACAAATTATTTTTCACTATTTATTACAGAAAAATCTGTATTTCCTATTTATTTTTATACCTATTGTAACAATGAACGGGTTAGGTTTAAGAATAAATCGCGGCGGAGGTGGTAAATCTAAGAATTCAATTGCATTTTCCCCTATTCAGATCCCACATTCGTTATTTGAAAATGCAGGTAATATGTTTATTAAATTTATTCTTATATGAATCTTAGTATAACAGATGATATGTACTTATGTATAGATTCAATAATTTCTCACATTTTATGAATATTGTCACTAGAAATAGGTATCAAACTTTATTACTCTGAGCAATATAATTTATTTATTTCAGCTGAATCAACTGAAGAAATTCAGGCATTTATTAAGTCAACGTGTACAGACGACCAATTAGCAATATTAAGAAATATAACAGAAGCAAGCAAACAAGGATTTGATAATGTTGTATTAAAGTTTTTGGTTTCTGTATTTTTCCATGCAGAGGCTAAACATCCTATAAAGTGTTTTATATCAAGGTACATTGTTTTTTATACCTATTAATATTACAAGAAGATATCTTCTTAACTTCTTATAAGCTACCGTAGATTACTTTCTAAATTAATAATGTAGAAACTTGGAAAAAAAGTACACAGACAGTATAAGTAGCATAAATTATGCTTACAAAGTATTTAACCACATATATTTATGACAACTACTAAACTTATTGTATACTGTGAGTTGCAAACAAATATAGTTACAGACTGTGAGCACTAATCATAAATATTATTCTTTTACAGGCACATAATTAAAAATGGCAGCTTACAGCAACCGTTTTCCGATGAGCTGGCTTCTCAAGTGTTGTCACAGATATCGGGGAGCCCATCGAACTACAATCAGTTTGTAGACACTGTGGGCAAGCTGATGATGAGCATTGAGAACTTTCCCGCTGGTGTAGTGGCTCTACGGAGTGTGGATGTAACTCTTGCGGAGTATTTGAAACATTGCTTGCAGTGCTGCGTTACTACGCTCAGGTACAATGATGTAGATTCCTTATACAAATATGCTTTTCATAAATATTTATCTATTCAAATTGTAAGGAGAACGGCAGATTTCGTACCGCTTTGCTAAAAAAAGATTTGTCATTGTTTTGCCTTGGGCAATTGGGTAGCTATAGAATCCTCTAAATACGTTATGTTAGCATATTTAATAGATTTTTAGAACTTGGGAAGCCCTAGAAAATCTCATATTCAATAATGATAAGAAGCAATCAACAAAACGGCTACATATTAAATAAAAACAAACCGCGATTGACGTTTATAAAGTTGCCATGCGTAAACATGAAATCAGAGTATATTGAATGTCGCTATTTCATAAACTCATTTATTTTAATATCAATGGAATATTTTCCTTTCCATTTCAAACATTTTTTATAAGTAAATATCATTATTTTAATTTCATTTTGTGAGGTCTACATGGATTATTAACGATAATTAACATTTTCACAAACTTGAATATGGCAATGTTGAACTGGTATTTGACATTTGTTGTTGAAGACGATTTGTCAATGTCAAGTGCGCCTTGCTGTTGGTTTCGAATGCGGTGTTATGATGTGTTTGTACAAATTGGAAGTCATTTTATTCATCTGGTGATACTTTGAGTTGGGCAGCCGTTCCTCCGTAGCCGAAATTGCGAAAATACACTTATTTTCATTTGTGCATAGTGTGTTGTATTTTGTCGCGATGACGAATTTACAGTGCATTAATTACAACCAGAGTTTGTCGCATGAGACGGCATGCTCTAGGAAATGAGAGTGAAGACTAGACGTGGTCAACAATATCCCATTGTGGACTTATCCTAGAGATGTAAGTAGGTACTTACCTATAATTACACATGACGTATCGAAAGTCACCTTGTTGCCTAAATAAAGGGGGCATAGTGTTATCTACCTATAATGTATCATTTTATTCTAGATCTCTCCTACCGACCATATTTGCCATGCTTGCTGGCAATTAGCAATGTATTGGGATGTTCCTGAAAGTATGTCCAGCAAACAAACTGATCATTGACATGTCTGTGTCGTATGTGGGCATTCCATTGCAAGGATAAGGTGACGCAGGGGTTTAATTGAAGGCGCCAACGAACAGGAGCAAAGACTAGCTCATATAGTATCTGATTGGATTCAGCCACGAAAGGTAATAATTTATTGTATTAACCATATACTATTATCATATAATTTAAAGTCAATATGACATTCTAATAATATTACTTTTTTTAGCTTACTTCCAATGATGAAGATCGTGTTCCATGCTGGCTGAGAGCCTTAACAAGAGTCGGATCTATAAGACCACAACCTGACATACCACCTCATAGTGTTCACTATCAGGATGTAATGTGTTATGTAAACATT